CACGACCCAGTCTGGCCGAAGGCCACTAAGCACTACATGCTGTAATAATGGCCAGCGGAATGAGCGAAGCGGTCCCGGCAAGTCCCCGGCAAGGTCCCGGCAAGGTCGGGCCAGAGATGCCGGAGTTCTGTTTCGGAGTCCAAGAGGGCTCCAGATCGGTCCAAGAGGGCCCCGAGAAGCTTTCTAGGCGGTCCAAGAGAGGCCCGAGACGGCCAAAGATCGCCCGAAGACGCCCCAGATGGCCCCAAGACAGCCCAAGAGGCCTCCAAGACGCTCCAAGGGCCTTCCAAGAGGCCTCCGAAGAGGGCCCCAAGTTGCCAAAATCGTTGATTTTCATTGGTTTTTTCGATGATTTGTTGCGTTCTGGCCTTTTCGCTTCCGGACGCTCCAAGAGGGCCCAAGAGGCCTTCAAGACTGCTCCAAGACGGCCCACGAGGCTCCCAAGACGGCCCCGGAGCGGCCCAAGAGCGCCCCCCAGACGGCCCAAGTGCTGCCCAAGGCGGACCAAGAGGCCCCAAGACGGGCCCAAGAGGGGCTCAAGAAGGGAACCGAGAACTGAAAAATCGAGCCCTCCGCCCCAGAAGGCGCCCAGGACCCCGAAAGAGGCCCCAAGAGACTCTCCAAGACACCCCCAAGACGCCCCAATAAGCTCCCGTGAGGCCCCAAGAGGACCAACAACGTCAGGCCCCAGGCCCCAAGAGGACCAACAAATACCGCCAAGAGCCCGCCGAAAGCCCCCCAAGAGACCGTCACGAGAGCTCAGGAGGCCCCCTGGAGGCCTCCCGAGTTCTCCAAGAGGCCTAAAAAAAGGCGCCAAGAGGCCCCAAACGGCCCCACCGAGGCTCCAAGAGGCCACGAACGCGCAAGCAAACGCCTGCGATGGCACAATACGGGCCGGCGGAATGAGCGAAGCGATTAAATAATGGCCAGCGGAATGAGCGAGGAACGCTGTCACACTGAGTACGGCGGGTGACATCCCCCGCATGGTCTGCAAGGAATGCTTTCTGCAACTCCTTTCACCAGCGCGCTTTTCATACCTGCCGCTGCCCCTGAGCCCTCACAACCCCTCCTGTGGTCCTCCCCGCGGCCCGCTCATTCCGCTGGCCCAAGAGCCCAGGCTGCGGCCTCTGGCCACCACTTCCGTTCCAACAAAAAAAAACTTCCAAGCGCTGAGCTTCCGGGCGCCACCAGGCCCTCTCAAAGATCTCTCTGGGCCGGTTTTGAGGGCATCTCGGGGCCCTTTCTGGGCTGACCTCTGCCGTCCTTGCAGCCTCTTTGGGCCGTCCCGGATGCCTCTCCACCTCTACTCGAATCACAGACTCGATAAAAACCCAACAAGGCAAAAACATTGAAAAACACATAGGATTATGACGATTCTGGCCTTCTCGCGTTTCACCTTGCGCTTCTCTTCGAGCTCCCGTGCATCTCCGTGGGCTCTTGAAGCTATCTTGGAACATGCGGATGCTCTTTGCAGCCGTTCTCACAGCCTCTCGGGGCCCTCCTCGGCCGTCTGGGCGCATGATTGGTGCATTTTGTCGGTCCTCTGGGGCGCCCCCAGAGAGCTCCTGGGGCCCCCTCCACGAGCCAAAAACTGATTGGGACTGCTTTTTCCCCGCCGTTCCCATCGTTCACCCCACTCCTGCGACAGATGCTCTGCAACATGGCCCCAAGATGCCCCCTAGAACTCTCACGAAGAACCCGAGAGACCCCCAAGGAGGCCCCAATAGAGCCCCGAGACGCCCCAACAGAGCCCGAAAAGAACCCCATTACCCTCTCTGGCGCCGTCTTGGCCCCCCCCATCCCACGAATTCCACGATCCAAAGAATATGGGCGTTCACTTGAATACCCTCTCGTTTCTCCCTGAAGCCCGAGAGTCCTGTGAAACGCCCTAAGGCAGGCCCCAGGATCTCCCACCTGCCCCTTCTCCCTCCTCATCCCACCCTTCTTGAAGAAAGAACGCCACACGCTCAAACCTATGAAAGGAATGGGGAAGGAAAAGGAGATAAGAGTGCCATAAATATGGGTGCGCGTTGTCGGAACCCGAGGGGAGCTCCCGTTCGAGCGTGAACCCAAATCCGACCACACACACACACACACACACACAGCCCCCCGCGGAATCACACCGAGAAAATCTAGAGGGCGCATAGATATCATAGAACGCGTTTCGTGGACGCTTGCGTTGGAAAAACATTGGCACATGTGGATGTCTCGAACCAGGAGGAGGGGGGCCACCTGTCCAAGGGGAGGGAGGGGAGTTCGAACTGGGGGGGGGGCCCTCCCTGAGTTGCAAAGGGGGGGAAGGGTCGAACCCGGGGGAGGAGCCCCCCCTCTGTGCAGGGGGGGGGCTCGAACCGCCCCCCCTCTCCCCCTGATAGAACCCTACTAGGGTTCGATCCTGCTTCAAAAAAATCTTACTATATCTGGATCAAGCTCGAATTGAATCCTACTATGACTGAATACACCTCTGATTGAATCCTGCTAAGGCTCGATCCAGCTCTACTATAATCCTACTAGAGATGGACCCAATTCTTGATCATCCCCGACTCTACTCTACCATCTACCCTACCCTACTCTATTATGTTCGACTCTACCCGACTCTACTCTACCCTACCCTACCCTGCCCTCACCTACTCTACACTACTCTATTATACTCTACTCTTAGTCGTACCCTACTCTACACTACTCTCATCTCCTCCATTGTACTGTCTTATACCCGACTCTCCTGTACAATCAACCCTACTCTAATCTGCTCTAGTCTGATCTACTGGGCCCTACTCTACCCTAGCCTACCCAAATGTTGTTGTTTCGAGACGGCCGTAGCAGCTAAAGACCATCGACTCGTACTCCGTCGTCGTCCTCCTCCTCCTCCTCCTCCTCCTCCTCCTCCTCCTGCTCCTCCTCCTGCTCCTCCTCTTGCTCCTCGTCGTCGTCGTCGTCGCTGCCCAACGGGGCCGGCGCCGGCGCCGGCGCTCGACGTCTTCGGTTGCAGGCCCTTGGTTCGAACCCCCCACCCCCTGCAATTCAGGGCGGGGGCCCCCCCGCCCCCTGGTACGAACCAACCCCACCCCTTGAGAGAGGGGGGGGGGGGTTGAGGGCCCCCCCAACCCCCCCGGTTCGAACCCCCCCCTTGCATTTCACCTTCCCCCCGGTTCGATGCCACCCCCCCTTCTAAGCGTCCACTGAGCGCGCTCTTTTATAGGTATGGGTTCTACTTGTCAGCTAATGACTTCTGGTGGAGCCTACTCCGAGTTCTATAATAACCCCCGCAGCGGGTCACGAAGAAGGCGCAGCCCAGCGCGGTGCACCGACGAAAGGAGGCTGACGCCCGATCGGGGGAGGGGCCCACCGCTTGCTGTAGACAATAGGGAGGGTGAGGGGGGAGGCGCGCTCACGCGCGGAAAACCGACTCGGGTGAGCTGGCCCGCAGGCGCTCCACGGCGCACCCACAGCTGAAGCCGAAGCCGAAGCTAAAGTGCACCGAAAAATGGAGAGTGCTGACGAGCACAGGAACTTCAGCCAAAGCTGAAGTGCACCGCTGGGAGGAGAACCTAGGGAGGATCGAGGAGGAGCGAGGAGGCTCGAGGAGGCGCGAGGAGGAGCGAGGAGGCGCGAGGAGGAGCGAGAAGGAGCGAGGAGGAGGAGGAGGAGGAGGAGGAGGAGGAGGAGGAGGACGTGGGGGAGGACGAGGAGGAGGTGGAGCAGGAGGAGGAAGAGGAGGGCAGCCTCTCGGCCAACCAGTAGAGCAGCGCAATCTTGCCCCGGTCGCCCTCTGGACCCATCAGCAGGAGCAGGGGCGGCAGGTTGGTGAGCGCCGCTACCAGCGATATGAGGATCACCAGGAAGATGGCAGGGAGCCGAAAAACACACCAGCTCGAACTTTCGGACTTCCTTGGAAGGCTTCTCCGCTCGAGCTGGAACCCTCCCAGCCGCCCCCTGGGCGTCGCCTCTGGCACCGCGAAGCGCGCCAAGGGGGGATGGCGGAGGGGGGTGTCCAGCACCAGGGGGAGAAACCGTCCGAAAGTTTATGATCATGTGGTCTTGGGCTCCCCGGATAAACGAGCCGTACTGCTGAAAGAATGCGATGTCGCACTGGAAGAGCGTCAAGCCAGCTCCCATGGTGGTGATCGCGCCGCTGGCAACCGAGATGCCCATGGTGCCAAGGGCTCCCTGCATCTTCTCCTCGCGCGTCCCAGCTTCGTGCTCGTTGTACGCGTGTAGAAGGTGCACGGAGTAGTCAACTGCTAGACCGACCACCGCGATCAGGAAGATGCACTCGTTCGAGCCCAGCTCCCATGGAATTAGAGGCATGACTCCCAAGAATATGACGGTGATGACACTGATGTTCAACAGACCGATCAACGCGAGCACCCAATTGAAGGTGACGAGTGCTAGGACCACGGCGGTGACAAACAACGAGACAAGGATACCTTGGATCGCCGCAGATAGCAGCTCATTCTGTAACACCATGAACTCGTACATCTTGGAGCTGTGGCGTGGGTCTGAGACTCCAGCCTGGGTGCGCACGTGATCTCCCCAGCGCTCGTGCCAGCGGTTGAGGACATCCTTGGTGCCTTGCGCCTTGAAGCTCGCGTTGAAAGTCATCCACGCGAATTTCAGCGTGCCATCTTCGATAATCCAGCCCGTATGCGTCTGCTCCAGGGTATTATCCCAATGGCGGCCGGCCTGCTGGTTTGCCACCCGGCGCTCCTCCAGGTAGCTTCTGAAGCCGTCGGACTCAAGCAAGGGCACAAAGTCGACGTCGGGCACTGGGAACCCGATCCCGTTGATGTTCGCATACTCCTCGACCCACTCGATCCGCTGGCCCCCCTGCGGGGCCTCCAGGCTGTTTCAGGCACGTAGCTTTCCCTGGGGCGCAGAAGGACGCACTAGTGCTATGCACACCCCTCGGAGGCGCAAGTACGGACCGAACACATGGTACGAACACCTTACAGTATATCGTTAGCCAGGCGGTATGGCCAGAAAGCGCCCACCACCGAGCATGTACTATAAGATTTCTGAGCACGCGCGTCGCCCCTGCGTGCTAGTGCTCACATAGTATGAGTAAGTATGCTTGGTTGATGCCGATTCCCACAAGTACCTACTGCAGCTTACGTAGATACTCACTCCGCCGGCGCCCGCCTGCTGGGAGCGACGAGGCGCTCGAGATGCCTGGCTGCTTCTTCCCCCTCGTGCGGCAAATTCCTGCCGTGGCGCCCTCGGCCTTGACTTCTGACACCGCGCGGATCGCGTCAACCTTGAACGATCGCCGGGTTTCTGGTTGCCAGATGGTTCCATCTGGGCCGATTCTGGGCCACTGGCGGCGTTCAACCTTGAGCGCCTGCGGCGCGGTCGCCACCGAGTCGGCACGACGCGGACCTGCCGTACAACGTCGCTCGACGCGAACCAGGTCTGAGGAAGGGTCTGCGAGCTCGCTGACGTCAGGAGGCAACTCCTCAAGCCCGATTAAGGGTCCATTGAGCCAAGTTGGGCCGAATTACGCCCGGGAAGAACTGGAGTAACTGGAACGAAGCCGGGCGAAGTTAGATCAAGGAAGCGGGATTAGACCAGATCTGGCCAGGCTTCGGCCAGGAATATGCCAGCGCCGATTCTGAACTCAACCTCCCCGGAGTTGCATCCTGACCGGCGCACCTGCCGGGCATGCACCAGAGGCTCCCAGGCGTGGCCCCAAGGGAATCCCGTGGATCCGAAAATGCGCTGCGCGGCGGTTCCTTGCTCTGTCCACCGACGTCGCCTCCTGCGGTGCGGTGCGGCGCGGTTGTTACGGGCCCGCGCCCGCCCGCGTGCTGCTCCGAGTCCCTGCACGCGTTGCCGTCCGCCGTGGTGCCAGAAACGGACTCCCCGTGGGGTGGGCAAGTCGGCTATGACAAGCGTCCGCGGATTGAGGAAAACATCAACGTCATGGGAAGGGATGGGAGAAAGGAATGAGATATTAGATGTGGCACGTGCGCACCTAGCTCGACAATACCATCTCTCCCTCCGCCACGGATACGCGCGGCAGCACGACGTGACGCTCGCAATATCATCCAAGACCGCCTCTGACGGCCCAAGATGGCCAAGGGCTGCCTCCACGGTGGCCCAGGACAGCACAGGCTGGTACAAGATGACCTCAAAGACGACCCCAAGAAGCCCAGAGATGCCCAAAGACTGCTCCAAAGTGGCCCTGCAGACTTCCGAGGAGTCCTCTAGCATGCCCACCACTAAAAAGTTGTTTTATTTCATGCCATTCACGCCACTGCTGCCGCAGACAAGGCTCAGAAGACATGAGCCGGCCCCAAGGTGGCCCAGGAGGGCCCTGAGGCGAGCCCCGGATGGAATGGCTCTAAGAGGCCCCTCAGAATGCCCCGAGAGGGTTGCGAGAAGCCCTCACAAAGCCCACATAAAGATTCAAGCGGCCCTGCGATCTCCAACAAACTCTCACATGTCCCAGGAGACTTTCGAAAGGGCTCACCCCGAACGTACTTAGGCGCGTCATGGAGTACTGCTGCATACAACAGAAGATAAAATTGCCCGCGACATCAAGGTCACCAATCACAGCGCAAGCAGCGTCGAAGACGGGCGTGGCCAGGTCGGCCAAAGACAACCCAGAGAGACCTCTCATCATCAGAATCTCAGACGAAACGGATCCGCTCGCCAGGGCCAGCGATGTAGCCGCAGTCACCTTGGACTCTGGGCCAAACACCCCTTTCGGCGCCGCAACTTTCTCAGCGGCCAACTTTTCCGTTTCGTCGTCGGTCACAAGCTCCGGCCCCATCAACACGTTCATGTACTAAACCGCAGTTCCCTTTCCACCATCCCTTCGAGCCTCACGCCGAATCTAATCAGGGACAGCAGAGCAGCTCGACCTAGGACAGAGTTCTTCCGTGTCGATCGCGGGAAGAACGATTCAATCTTCGTAAACCTCCCACGTCTCTGCGGCACGATGAACCAACCGCCTTTAATTGCTCGATCCGGTTCTTCCCGCATCACTCCACGACTGCCAAGAAAGCACAAGCCCCCTCAGAAGCTTGCAGCTCAATGCCCGCAAAATAGCCATACGCTGAAAACGCGTACTCTTCTGCATTGAGACACTCGAACGCAAACGACTTGATCCTTCTACAGATTGCTTGGAATCCTTGAATGATGATTCCCTCAGTTCGATCGTCTTCGTCTCCCCAGCGCGGAGCGCGGCCGCTTTCAGGCTTCCCTGCCGGAGCACGGCGGGCCCCGGGATCTGCCCAACAGCTTCTCTCACACTTCTGCCTCGCCGCAGGTTCCTCCTCAAGTTGACGAACCTCCGTGTCAAACGAAAGCGAGACAATCCAGCATCGAGCTTGCTCGACTCTTTAACGGTCGGCATTGCCACCTCGATCAATTCACGACAACCTGATTCGCCCTTCCCCGGGTCTTTACTTCTTCGTCGACTTTTGCCAACGCTTCTTTTGCGGGCCTCCGTGGAGCTATCGACGCAGCCTCATCCTTCTCCTTGCCATCTTCAGCAATTTAAGAAACCGACCTCTATATACCGATGCTTTTTCCGTTTCCGCACTGAGACTCGCACAAGAAAACGGAATACGGTGCACACGGCATCCTGGCGTATACATGTTCTGTTGTTTCCACGGGAAAACGGGAAAAAATAAGTGTACACCACACGGGAAAAAATAAGTGTACACCACACCACCCCAGCGTCGCCCCCGACCCTCAAAAAATCCTGGGATTGCAAAACGGTCCGCCACTGGTAATGCATATGTTCCAGTTTCCGACAATTATCTCTTCTTCGCTCGCTGACGCACGAGAATGCTTGCAGCGCGGCCCTCCTCGCGCAGCCCCTATAGCTACCGCAGATTCGACCCCGTCCCTCCCCCTCTCAACCCCCACATCGGCTAGCATCTCGTCGACGTTCGCAAGTACCCCTGCAACCCTCTTCTTCTCCGAGATAGCGCGATCCCATCCGTTCGCGGGCTCTCGAATAACCGCAGCCGACTTGCCAATATAAGCAACCCTGTCTTGCTGCAGCTCGGTGATCTGCCCCTCAGACTCGCCGCACCTCGAGATCAGTCGGCCTCGCCGTCGACATCAAGTCTTCTTCTGACGAGGCTGCATCCGCTCAAAATGGCAACTCGCTTCCCCCCGAATCGCGCAACTGCCTCATTGCATTCGCAACGGCACTCCTCTGCCTTGCCCCTATCCGTGCTGACAGCGTCGCGCTCGCCCGTCACAGCGCTTACTTTAGCCCCAGCAATCCTCAGCCCCGCTCCATTTTCAAGGGCGCCCTGCTCGAGCTGCCCGTTCTTTACGAGGACGGCTCTAAGGTTGCCCCTCGTTCGGACTAGCGCAAGCAGTTCTGAGGGTGGACGACGGACACTGATTCTTGTTCCGCGCACCGCGGAGACTGCATATAGATATATGGCAAACGCAGTCATGCGCCCCAGGCCGTCCACCGCGTCGTCAGTCGATTGGGCGGACCAATCCAAGATCCAACAACGCCGGAGTCAGCGGGAGCAATCGACCGCGGCCCCAGCAGCGCCGTTCCCACATCGGCCGCCCAACGGGCCCCAGAGGAACCCTGGTCAGCGGGATTGGCTTCTGGCCCGCCGGGCAACCTGCAATCGGATGCCCCTACGTTGACGACTTGCGCCTCTCAACGAATCGGCGCGCACGTCGCCCAGAGTTCGTGGCCTCGTAGCACCGCCCCCGTCTACGCTGGAATCATCCACGCAATCAAGGGGTTGAACTTCCGCCCGAAGACCAGACGCCCCGACGCCTCCTCTACATTCCCGGCCACGAAGCCTTTCGGCACCGCCTTGCAGACGGGGGGCCACGCTTGGGCTCTCAATGCCTGAAGTAATGGCAGAAGGGAGGATCCTCGCCAATAACTTCATTCATCGTGGTCCAGACTCCTTTACGCGATCTGATTATCTCCTCCGATTTCTTCTTGCGAATCAAATCAAAACGCGCGTTTGTTCGTCGAGGTCCCCTGGATGTCCGATCGATCGACCTTCATAATATCGCCCTTGACCTGCAGCGCAGTCTGGATGGCAAACATCAGGCCAATGTGGCTATGTTCGGTCCATATCACTGGTTTACTTGCTGGCCATGCTATTTGGGGACCTTCTTGAACCCCAGGGTTCCGTTCTCGAAATCAACCCAACTCAAAACACAACAAACGACGGTCGCACTGTAGAAATTTCCGTCTACTAGACCAATACATCCGGAGCAATTATCCAGGCTTTGCGAACCCATATCCTGCCACTCGTGGCCATAGACCCAACGCATCCTCATTTCACGTTCGTGCTGTCGGTTCCTTTGGGGGCCCCCTATGATTCCAAAACGCAGCCAAACTCCAGGAATGGCCAAACGACTCCTGACGGTCATCCCGCGCAGGAAGCGGCTAGACCCGCTCAGCCGCGAGTTCTCTCGCTGGAGTTCGCCCCACCTCGAAAGGGAACGCGCGCACCAACCAAGTGTTCAAGGCTCGGCCTCGTCAGTGTCGCACCAGCCATATCAACTCCATCCAGACAGGTCGCCCCATCAAAGACGGTCCCCACACCTCTTCTGCAGCGGCGGAGCTCCGGCCTCTTCATCTGTTCTCTGATGATGCGCACAATGTATGTGAAGAAATGGGTATAGGGTATGTTTGGCCGCTCACGATGTCATCATGGACCCGTCCTCGGCGGGTTTCCCAGACACCTTACACCGACCAGGATCCAGAGTATCGTCCCGGCACCTCTTCTCCACAATCGCCAACTCGTCTTCCATGTCTCTGGCGGCTACCGCTGGCTCACCTATCCTCCATATACCGTTGCACAACCGCTTAGTCTCAGCCAGGTTCGGAGAACGAAGATCGCGCTCTCTCTGTCGCCTGTCCAACTCCGAGAGTGCGAAGACCCCCATCACCAGCAGCGGCACCGTTATTACACTTCCCAACAAGAACCTTTCCAGCGCGAACGGCTTCCCGGCCATTGGTCTGCGTCGCACGCAGGCAACTGACGCACTCCATCAAATTCTCGACCGGAACGCGCGGTGCTGAGGCCCTCTTCACAGCCGCGTTTGGGGCAAGGGCACCTGGAACCAAGGGCTCGATCACTGGGAACACGTAAAACTCACGAAGCACTTTACGCCCGACCTCCCTTCTATCATCATTATCCAGCAACCACCGCCGAACGTCGGGATTCTTCATCGAACCAGTTACCCTGGCCACGAAAGCCAGGAGCCCCCGCATCTCCATCAGCACGCATGGCTCATTCTGACTGACAGACGACGAGCCGTCTATGCTAATCAATCCCCTCCAGGAGGGGGCGACAGCGTCGCTCTCAGGGCTATGTCCCCCATGGGCAGCGGAGGCCAAGACTGACCCCCTGGCTCCCGCATTGCCCCCAATGAGACCACAACGCAAACGTCACGTCGCACAACAGCCGAGATGCACTTTGCAAACTTCTTCGAGGTCTCATCGCCATCCAGTTAAACATGCCACCCGTCGGACCTCGGAATGCTTTGATACAGGGTCACTCCATCGAGCACGGTGCACCGAGTCGGACAATCAAAGGCCGCCCAGCGCAACACTCCCTCCTTCATTGGAGCCCTTATACTCGAAGCCGCGCGGTCCCACACCCACATGTCAGGGGCATTGCAGTATTCCCAGTTACATCCCACGACGAGAGACGAAGGAGAAGGCCTGATCAGAAGCCGGCTTGGCTTTTCAGAAGCCCTCGCGCCTTCTGATAAGTACTTTGTGGATTCGGGGAAGGCCTAGAAAACCTATCAGAAGGCTGGGGGGCTTCCGAGCCTTCTGAGAAGGTGCGCCCCTTCTCACTTCCCCCCTGGCTCGCCGCCGACGATCGTAGAGACTTCCAGATGCGCGCAAGATGGCCCAGGAAGTTCCAAAGTGGGTCCCCGAGGCCAACGATATATTGATGAGCAACTGGGTGTTCTGTGTTTCTCGCTTGCACTACATTTCGCCTCGAAGGGACTTGGCAGGGAGCCAGGGAGGCCCCAAATCAAAGATGGTCCACTCGACACCCCCGGAATTTCTATCACAAGATCCGCGAGACTCCCGAAGCCCGCGAGACTCTCGAAGACGCCCCAGAGAAGCCCCAAGATGGCCCAAGGTGTTCCCAAGGGCACATGAGGGTTTCCACGAGGGCACGGGCGGCGATGACTCGCCCGAGGCGTCCTTCATGAAGCAGTACCTGCCTGTAGCGCAGTACGGATCCGTGGGCAAGCTCACGTTGCCATGAGCCGTCCTTTCGTCCAGGCACGCGCCAGGGGAGCCGTAGACCAGGCAGAGATCCGATTCGCAGCGGGCACCTGCTGAGTCGGGGGACCGGCAGAGTGCCAGCGCGGCCTGCTGGCTTGCAGGCGTGGTCAGCAGCTCTGCGCCGCGGTCCAGCAAGTTCACCTCGGGCGTGATCGGGTTGGTGGAGGTGAACCTGGACACCGCGGACTCCTCGGGCAAGCCCCACGAGACCTGCACCAGCTGCTGCTCCTGGATGGAGAAATAGTCGCGCATGATTGCGAAGAAGCGGACCAGGTCATTCTCCTCATCGCCGATCTCTGGTGGCTTCGTCGCGGTTTTCAGCAGCACGCCTGCAGCGGAGCCACTGGCAGCTGTTGCGAGGAGCCAGAGGGCCACAAGCGACACCCTGTAACGAAGCACGAAGCTGAACAGCGGACCAGCGCAGAAGCGCTCGAGCCACGGCTCGCCCTTCATCGACCTCCTTCTTGTGGCTCGAGCAGGCTCGGGCTTCTTGAAAGCAGCGATCAGCCTACGAAAGCCGCCCCAGCAGCAGCCGGGCCCTCCGCAGCTGCCCGCGGGCTTCTGGGGCCCAAAGCAGAGACACGGGTGCCCCATGAAGAACCGCTCGTAGACGCACAGTGAGCTGGCGAAGAAGGAGACGCACCACAAGAAGTCGAAGACTACCACTATGCAGGCGAAGAGGCAGAAATGGGATACTGCGGGAACTGGGTTGAACGCGCCGAAGAAGAATGCCGCGCCCGTGGTCGCGGTGGTGGTGAGCATAGCCGAAAAAGCACGGCGGTAGCCCAGCGCGAACGTGTCCGCTGTCGTGCCCATCCCGTCGAGCGCCACTGGAGCCTGCTTCCAGGCGTCGACGAGCACAAAGATGTCGTCGGCCCCGATGCCCAAGATCATAAAGATCGTCAGGAACTGCAGGAAGCCGACCCCGTCGGGCCTAATGAATTTCCACACCAGGAAGGCCGGGGGGCAGGACATCACCACTTGGAGCATCCCCATGCTCGATAGGAAGAAGGATTCGATCGTGAACCACATGTAAAAGAAGACAAGAAGAAACGAGCCGATGGCAAGGGCGCAATCGTGGATGAGCAAACTCTCCATCGACTTGAGGGCCGTGAACTCCGTCAGCAGCATGGGCCTCACCTCGCCATTGGTATCACTGATGGCCTCTTTCGAGGCCTCCTGGTATAGGTTCCACAGCTTTCCTGTGTATTCGGCCTCCAACTCAGCCTGATTATGACCGTCATGCCCCATCATCCACATCGACATCAGGAATGGCGTCCCGTGCTCGGCGAGGAAGCCGCCCTGGCACGCGAAGGAAGGCAGGACGAACCGACGCAGCGGCGACATGAGCGGGTTGTCTGGGCTGCAGACCTCCTCGAGGAACCCCCGCAGCGCATCACCCTGCAGAGGCTGCGCACTCCCATGCTCGGTGTGGTCCCAGGCGGTGGAGGAGCACATGGGAGACAGGAACGGGGGCGCGAACCGCCAGGAGGCGTCCTGTGCCTCCATGCTGGCGCAAAAGTCTTCCATCGCCGAGGACAGGTGCGCCTCCGTCGCGACGGGGTCACCGTGGGCGGACTCCGGAAGCAGTGCCAGGTGGTCTGGCCTGCCCTTCAGGCAGGTCAGCACCTGTCGGCAACACGCAAGAGGTGCGACCCCAGGCAAGAAAGGAGCTTCTGGGAACGCGGCTTACCGACCGCTGCACGCGATGCGACAGCAGCGGCCTGCGTGCTTGAGCTTGCCCATCCTCCCACCAGCCGCGCCCCCCTGAAAGCCGGGCATCAAACCCAGACATCCGAAGTCTTGCATTTTCCGATACGGGGCCCGGCCGGGCCCCGTATTGAAAAACTGAGTGTTTCTGGGGCAGTCCCCGGGCCAGGCGAGGCCCCCCAGAGGCCGACAACGGCCGAAAACCTCCCGTCACGATTTTTCACGTTTCGAGCATGTCTGGGAAGGTCACTCCGGTGAAGGACCACTCTTGACGGCGAGACCTGGGGGAAGTGAGAGGGGGCAGGCTTTCTGAGAAGGCGGCGGGACTTCTCAGAAGCCCTCACGCCTTCTGAGAAGTCCTCTAAGCCTTCTCCGAAGACACAGGCGGCTTCTCCGAAGGCCCGAGGTATTGTGAGAAGCCTGACCGCCTTCTGAGATGGCATGGCCCCTGTCACTTCCCCCCTGGGCTCGCCGCCGACACGGTCACTCCTAGGTGGCGACATCCGAACCCAACCCCCGCCACCCATCGAGTTGCCTGAATCGTTGATCGGTGAGGGTGGGATTCGGATTTCGCCGCCGAACTCCAGCGAAGGGCCGATCTTGCGTGCAGCAGCGGCCCCGACTCTTTCCCCAGGGGTAGTTTTCCGTCCCAGATCCGTTTTTGGTGTCCAGGTCCTGGTGACCGACAGTGGCCCCGAGGGCAGAATTCCAGGAAACACTGGACCGAAGAACACAAGAGCAAAAAAAAGGTCGTCCGAGATCTGGGATCCAGGATCGGAAGAGGCATGTCCGAGGAGGGGCCGCTCTTGCCCCAGCGCGAGCGTGTATGGGAGGGTAACTCTGGCGCAGGGCCGCTCTTGCGTGCAGCAGCGCCTGGTCCTGCGGCGTCTCCTGCCCGCTGGGGGGGCCCTGCGGCGGGCCGGCTGGCGGTGCGCAGGCCAAGCTGGGCTCGCCGGTCAGGGAGCACATGCACGCCCCCAGGGCGTTGCCAAAGCCTGCGTCGAAGCTCTCTTTGACGGTCTCGGGCACCTCTGTGGGGGGGGGGGCGCAAGACGGGGGTTCGGGGGACTCGGGCTAGCCCGACGGAGCCGTCAGGAACATGACGAGGCCCAGTCTAGAGATCCGACGCGAGCTCCCGGTGCAGACATGGACCGCCAAAATTCAGGACGGGCCCGCCAGAGAGCGCCAGCGGACGCGAGTTCCGGCGAAGTCGAGTCCTACGTTTCCCCGACTCTGAGGGGAGCCGAAAGCTAGGCCGACTGACGTCGCGCATCGCGCCCCGCGATGCGCGGCGCGCGACGTCTTCGCGCCCTCACGCCACCCCCGTGGAACAGGGCAACCGCTCTGGCCCCGACCGCCAGGCGCGCCTTCGATGATCCTCCGAACGAACGTGTCAGTAGCGCCAACGTGTGCCTGTCAGCCGAGGCCCTTCGACGCGACGCAGGCGGTGTAGTGAGGGCCGACACAAGCTGTGCGTGTCGTCGGCGGGGCTGAGCGGGGCAACACTCACTCTGGGCTGGCTGGTTAGCACACGTTCCGAGGGCCCCCCGCACCACTGAGTGACAGAGACGGGGTCGGAGCAGGTGGGGGGTCGGGGGAATGGCGCCGCATCGCCGATGCATCGGCGATGCAACGTGGAGAAAGTCGGGCTCCACATCGATCCGCATCGCCGATGCATCGGCGGTGCGGCGCCATCCTCCGAGACCATCTACTCGGACCCCATCTGGGAGGCCTACATCAGATCTGCAGGGAGCAATAAGGATGGAATCGGGGAGCCGCCCAGTGGGGGGGAGGCTTTGACCTGGGGTCGGCGATGCGTCGCTGGCAGGTCGGCGTCGGCGACGGACTCTCTGCAGCGAAGCCGCGCGCTCCTGGGCGGGTTGGGGCACCCAGTCCCCGATCGGCGAGGCATGGGCTGTCGGGGGTCGGTGCTCCCCCTGAGCCAGTGCCCCCCTACGGCGCCCATGGACCTCTGGGCCGTCGGAGTACAGCTGAGCGAGCATGGAGGTGGGCGGGGTGCAGACCGGGTCGCCGCCAGACGCGGGGTGCCACAGGAGACAGTAGTCGTCCTGGAAGTCTCTCGACCCGAAGAGAGTGTCCTCGAACTTCTTCATCGCGTTCATGTTGCGCTCGGTCAGCAGGTTCTTGGACCGCGCGTCGCAATCGTCGCCGGGGCACCCGGTTCCCGTGGCCTCTGGGGTGCGCCGAAGGAAGAGGTCCACGGAGAGGGGAGATACGCATCATGACCTGAGGCACGGGCGCGGAAGAGTGGGGGACAGCGGGTTTGCTGAAAGAAAGGGTCCAGGAAATCTTGGAGATATCATGGCCCCAGCCATGATATCCCCCCTTGGGGGGACAAAACAATACCGATGCCGCTGGTCTCCTGCCATCGCCCGAGGCGCGGTCTGACCAGGATTTCGAGGCGAATCCAGTCGCGGCCACGAGGGAAGAGCAGCGGCATCGGCAGCTCCTCCTCCGCCGACCCCTCTCGGACGCCCCCGATCCTCGTACATGATCAGGATGGCGTTCCCGGGAACAGACCGAGGCTTGACGCCGCCCACCATCCGGCGACCGCCGCCCCCACTGCCGTCCTCTCCAGCATCTGCCCAGGAGGGGTTGCAGACTGGGGAGCCGAAGACCCTCCCGGGGCTGCAGCCATGCTCTTCGAGGTGCTTCCCGGCGTAGTCCGCCACCGCGACTGCGCGAGAGTGAGGTGTCGGAATGTTGTGGTCGTCTAGCACGAGTCCACTGCGGAAATAACCGACCATCGAAGATTTGTCTGATCCCCCCCCATTAACGAGCGGCGAACATATCCTGAACGCGCACTCGCGGTCTGGATGGCGCGATGCCGCAGTCTGGATCCCGCGGTTGCACGAATACGTTCCGCACAATTTCCGCGGGGTCACGGACCAGGGGCCCGGCCCGCGAGGCCGCGTACACGGATATGTTGCTCGCCCAGATTGCCTATCGAAGAATTTCCACCGGGACCCCCCCGATGGCAGCACGCACCCTCTAAGAAATTCACTGCCAGTCCCAGCGATTTTGCTTCCAGACACCCGGGTCGACCTCCAGGCGGCTGCAAGACAGCCAGAGGTCGCCCCAGAACGGCTGTGAGATTCCCAAAGACGATTCAAAGACGGCCCAGCGAGCCCTCTGGGCCGCAAGATCTCCCCAAGATGCCACAAGTGGCCCAGATGATTTTCCAAGAGACGCCTGAAGATGGCTCTAGCGAGGCCCGCAAAGGCGAATTGCATTGAGAAGCCTCGAAGGAAATTTGAACTGTTTACTTCCAGGCATCGCGCCCAAGACGGCCCCGGGACCCCCGCCAAGATGGAGGAAGAGGGGCTGCGGACAAAGAGAATCTCTTTAAGACACGCGCCAGTCCAGACAGGGCACTGAACCGAAACGGTCATAACATCAACCTCATTCCTGCTGCGCTGCGGCGCTGGCGCGGTGACAGCGCCTGCCGCAGGCAGCTGGATACAGCTGCACGATATCGCTGGACAGCACCGTTCCGCCAGTGTCTGAAAGCTTGAACCCGCCATAAAGCCCGCCGATGGTCAATAAAAGCATGAGGGCCAGAAAGAAGCAAAAGGCGCAACAACTGCACACGACCTCTCCTGCCAAGAACCGCTCCCAGCGAGAAGGGTGTACACTCTCGGCGTCAACTGGCGTTGTGACGGGCTGTCTCTCGGCCAGCTTGGCGCCGAGCTCACGCGAGCCCCTTTTGCTCATAGAGCTCGAGAACGACAGCCTCTGCAAATGACTGATCGAGCCTTCCTGCGGCTCCAAGCATTCTGCGGCGGCGGCATCTGCGGGGAGGCTCGCGGCGCGTGCAGGCGACTCCTCGCTCTCTGCGGCGACGGCATCGTGCTCTGCGGCCTCAGCGGCAAAGGCGATTGCGCGGTGCCTCGCGGCTCGCCTCTGCGCCTCAGCTCCCTCTGCGGCGGCGGCCCCGTGCAGAGTGGCCTCTGCGGCGAAGGCAACTGCGCGTTGCCTCCCAGCACGCCCGGGCGCCTCCTCAGCGCCCTCCGCATCGACGGCGTCGTGCCCCAGCACCTCTGCGGCGAAGGCAACTGCGCGGTGCTGCTTGACAGCGCGCCCAGACGCCTCCTCTGCGCCCTCTGCGGCGACGGCGTCGTGCCCTGCGGCATCTGCGGCGACGGCACCGGCACCGTGCTCTGCGGCCTCTGCGGCAAAGTGAACCGCGCGGTGCCTCGAGACGCGCTGGGTCGCCTCAGCGCCCTCAGCGGCGGCGGCGCCATGGTCTGCAGCCTCTTCGGCGAAGTCACATGCGGGGAGGATCGCGGCGTGCCTGGACGCGGCAGCGCCGTCTGTGCCACTACGGATATCGACGTGAACGGCCGCCATGTTTGCCGCTGGGTGAACTCCACGCCTGCACGTGCTCGTTGGCCGTCATCTCTGCCATCCGTCGCGTGCGTTGAACAGAGATGGCATGGGGCAGAAGGCAGACATGATTGGAAAGGAGCAGGAGCCAGGAGGGGAGGTGGCAGAGATCCAACTTGAGAAGTGCACTGCTGTCTGTGCCGCTTCAGGTCAGACGTCTGTTTCACCAGTTCGATGGGATCCCTTTCGACACGATTATCATTGCAAGTTCAAGCCAGTCAAGGGTGCCAACCAGCGAAAGGGTGAGGGGGAGGGGGAAGGGAGAGGGGAGAGGAAGGAAGGGGTGAGGGGCATAGTTGAGAGGGGCCGAAGGCGCTCGCTATCCACAACGACAGAATGCGGGGATTTGAACTTAAACGACCTAAGACTGGAACACTTTGATGATGGGATGATGGGTAAATACCAGCACGCGGTCAGAGAAAAGAAGACAGTAGCACTCGTCTCTCGAAATCGCCAGAAGGGGAAACGGGAGAAGAGATGGGGAACAGGCCAGGCACGCTCGCGCCATATCTGACATCCTGCCCCTCCCACCCATCCCTCCCTACTGCGCTGATTTCTGATCGTTTCACCGACGGGTGTCATAGCGGACCTGGAGTTATGTGCAATCCGAAAAGGGGAGCTGCGTACATTGGAGGAGGAGGAGGAGGAGGAGAAGGTGGAGGAGGAGGAGGAGGAGGAGGAGGAGGAGGGGGATGAGCGGGAGGAAGAGGATGATAAGGAAAGAGGAGGACGAGGAGAAACACCAGCAGCGGGAGCAGGAGTGGGAGAAGCGGGAGCAGCAGGATGACCAGGGGAAGGCGGGGGGAGGGGAAAGAAGCGGGGCGACAGCGACGAGGAAGCACTCGGATCCGGCAAAGTGGCCCGCGCTGTAGCGAGAGCGTTAGCCTGAATGGTAGAAGCACAGCACCGATCCTAAAATGAGGCCCACGCTGCAGCAGTAGCGCCACTTTGAAAGTATCGATACCGAAAACGTTCAAATTGGAAAGACACATAGGAAAAAACACTCGGACCAATCCTGTTTCGAAAAACAGCACGCGGAGGAGGGCGCGCCACTCTCAGCACATCTTCAGGGGAGAGAGGAGAGTAGTATTCATGTTGTGGTAGAGATAATTGGCACTTGCTCTTTTTATGATTCAGTGCAACTGCTTCAGCTTTCAAGATTACTGTCACAAAACAGCAATGTGAGAACAGAAATAGAAGACATGAGTGAGTGCGTAGAGAGCGTGTGCACGGTAGTGGTAGAGAGAGGAGACGGGATGGGATATAGTGGCGAGGGGACGGGAGAGTGCAGAGGGCAAGCTTGGCGCGCCCACTCCACAGCTGATACCCCACCCCTGCTCCACCATGGCCTCTCATCACGCTCCACTCTTCTGTGTGCCGAGCAGGGTGTAGAATCGTAGCGGGAAGCAGCTGGGACGGGGCCGGCGTCTGCAGAGCGCCAGAGGGTCACGCCGCATCACCAGAACATCGGCGATGCGTCGCGATCCAGAGCACGGATCGGGCGTCGCGCAGGGATGCCCGCCCGCTTTCCCCTCTCCTGCTATATACGTTCGGTCCTCATGGTGGACGTGGAGCACGACCTCCACAGCGAGTCCAAGCCTCTCCTAAACGGCAGCGACTGATTTGACATGGCCTACATTGACGCCACGGCACTTGTGTCCGACGACATCAGCGGGGTGCAGCGTTCTCTGACTTGCCGCATTCGCAGAACTGCAGACAATCGATCGGAGCGAGATTGGCGCAACAAGATACGTCCACATGCAAATGAAGCATGACAGGAATGGACTCTCGAAAGTGGGAACGCCAGTCAAAGTCGTGAAACCAGCAGCGTACTTTTGAGCAATTTTCCTTCTGAGCTGGTGGCATATGTCACAGCCGTTGCCAGGCGAATTGGCGAAGTCTGGGCGGTTTCGAAAAGCTCGAAACAGCGTGGCGCGACGCGTATATCACGGGGAGTTAGAAGCTGGCTCTCTTCGACTCGCACGTCATATCCAAACTCACACACAGTTTAGCAGGGCTTTGCTTCAGGAAAACTGGCCGGGACAAGAGCGACGAGCTCTAAGCAAGACGTCCGAGTGAGTTTTCAACGGAGCAGTTCTGTGTCAGGAGGGGAGGGATGAGGCCAAATCCGCGCAAAGAACGGTCTCTGGACTCCCGGGGTCCATCTGGTGCAGTCTTTCACCGCGGATCCTTTTTGTTCACGGTCCCAGGGTCCGAATATTGGCCCGAGGCCGAAAAAAAGCTTACCCTGGCGAAGAACCCAACCCCTTCTACGTGCGTGGAAACTATCAACAGGACCGCTTGATGCACAAGAGCTCGTTGGAGTTGGGGGTGAGCATTGCCCCTGAAAACAATGCCGGAGAACGTCGGACCAGGATCGGCACGCACTCGCGCGACTTAAATCGCACACGGGAAGTTAAATAATGCTCCTCCGCTGGAGGCTTCGGTGGACGCCGAAGTGGACCCACCTCCAGTGGACCACAAAACGTGTGAGGGGTTCGCCCAAAGTGGACCCGAGTGCGCATGCGGACCCTGCCACTGGAGCCTTCGGTGGACCTCCCTATGGGGCCACGAAACGTGAGGGATGTGCCCAAATAGACCCGAGTGCGCATGTGCGGACCCTGCCACT